GACAGCTGGTATGAATCAACACAGCACTACAGAAACAGGGAGTCCATCCCCTGAATCCACCTGCGTCTCAGGGCAAGTACATGGTGGCTTTTGGTCCGCGATTTACCCCCTATCCGCCACCTGGGGTCGCGCCACGTAGCCTCGCCACCAACCGGCTCGAGATCTTTCAGTGAGAGAGGACCCTCAGTGAAAGAGATCCGTGATCAGTACATAAGGATTCTTCGTGAGCTCTACAGCAACTTTACGACCAGGATCTCACCATTCTACAAGGAGGTCATCATCGACGTCAAGAGAGGGGTTCGACAGGGCGACACCATCTCGCCCAAACTCTTCAGCGCTGCTCTCGGGAACATCCATCCCAAACTCTTCAGCGCTGCTCTCTATCCGCCACCTGGGGTCGCGCCACGTAGCCTCGCCACCAACCGGCTCGAGATCTTTCAGTGAGAGAGGACCCTCAGTGAAAGAGATCCGTGGACGAGCCCAACTATCCCTGCATATAAGCTTTCGATGAATATGTGATCAAAGTTGCTCTGGCGCCTTTTCGCGCCGGTTCGTGACTAGAGCGCCAGGCGTTTTCACGCCAAACGAATGCGATATTTGTATTGCATGGGTCGAAATACTCCGGCGGCAACTTTCAAGCGAAAGGCTTTGTCAGGGAAGAATCCCGCTAAAAATCCAGCTCATTTTCAGTGTCGGAGAAGTGGGGCAGTAAAGAGTAAATAGTGCCAAACATTTGTATAAAGTAGAAAATAGCGTTTTCTAACTTGGATTAATCTTTAGCTGTGCACTTACATGAGCACTCTTTGTTTCAGTCACCTCCAACTGAAGTAAAGGTTGTTGTAAAAGCTGCCATCGAACGCCGGCTACCGTCTTATTGATGCAGGTGACTCATATCGAAATGAGGAAGCGATCGGTGAAGCCATTAAAGAGTTGATTCAAGCCGGAAAGATCACTCGCGAAGATCTGCTCATCACCACCAAGGTATGAATCCGCCCTGAAATCTGTATTATCTACTGTAAAGGAAACAAGAGGCGGTGGGAAAAGAATGCCCACGGCCCACATCACCAAACTTTTCGTCGTGTGGTGCCGCTGTGGATGTTAGTTTACGGCAAAATATTCCTTAGATGTCCTCTCATAAGCAGAAGCAGGCCCACCTTCGCTGCCCTCACCGTCTCAGAATATGACGTCATCTGTCATCACCGTCGAGCTCAAGGAGGCCTACAATAATCGCTCAGCCTGAAGCTGCTCATATAATTTGAACGGTCAACTAACGGAGAGCTTTTTGGGAACACTAGCTCTGATTGTGCGAGAACTATCGGCCAGCGTCATTTCGGATCAAGTCGTAATGGCACATTATCCGTCGACCACCTCGTTGAGCTCGTACCGTGGGACAATCTTCTGTTTCCGTCGGTGAAGGCTTTTAGAATTTTCTAATGGTTCAGAATGTGTCTTCAGTATGCTTAGGTGCATTCGGTTTACCAAGCGAAGCGTAAATATTCTGCTTTGAATGAGGAGGGATAGTGACTCTTTTTTGCCCTGCCTACCCCCTCCCCTGTACATAGGGTGGACAAATTACGGTAACGAGATGAAGTGATCATGGAAAACCTAATTAGCTAACAATGGACTAGTGAGAAACCTGAGTGAAGAGCGAGCGGAATTTACCGACCAACGCAGTTGCCGCGGCGTGTTAGTTGTAAGTGGCGAATCCATCTCATGCAGTATAAACATGTACCTTATATTAAACTATATACACATGCTATACACAGACTTATAGGTCTTCATCTTCAGATAGTTTCAAACGATTCTTCTGCAAGAACCTGCTCTTCACCCTTCTTTAAACGACAAAAAGTAGCGGATTGAGCTCAGTGATATTGGTTAATGCATACTTCTCAAAGAATACGAACGCATTTGCAAAGTACCTTCGGAAAACCCTGAGGTAACAGAGAAATGAACGTTTCATGAAGGTTGAGGCTTCGCCAGTTCTGGATTGGCACACCTGAAGGGCTGGACGGAATCGAAGTGGTGTGTTATTTTGATCGAAAAATGGAAAAGAAGTGCGGCGTGAACGTGAGTGGGAGGGAAAAAAAGGGTCATAGAATATATTACCCTCGTGAGTGCAGCTGTAGTATGACGGAGATACTGAGCGCTGCGAAGAGAGAGAAATCACAAGAGAATACGTGAGAGAACGCAAGAGCCACGTACAGCGCGATTGATAGAGCGCAGCGCCGGCAGCACACGCGGCAAGGTCTTATTATTGCAATCGCAGTGGTCTGATGGTCGAGTGGATAGCGTCATGGACACGGAGGAAGAGACTTTGTGGTTCGACTCCGCTCCATCAAAGGAGTTTTGCATTTTTGATTGTCACCTCCAAATGAGCGCCAAATTGCTTCAGCGTCAAATTTAACGCTATATTCACAATCAGGACCATCAGCAGCCCCTGCAAATGGGTTTACTATCAAAAACTGGCAGAATAAATCTATAGCGCCAAACTGGCGCCAAATGGCGCCGACGCCGAACAAGAATGCAGCATTTGTGATCAGCACTCCCATTGTCAAAGTTTTGACCAAAAACGAGATTTTGACGTAACTTCGAAAAAGAAGTGACAATGGGTCACAAGTCATCATGCAGCCAGCGGGCAACTTGAAGACGACGTTGCACGGAAATCAAGCGGAACACCCTGATGATTCACGGAATCCAAAGTTCGGGAGAATCTACCACCACTCCCTGTCCTTGAAATCGCTCCAGCTATGGAGATGAGGCCCTACGAGTGGACAAACCGAGGACCCAACATATCACGTCTTGAAAAGAGGGAATCTGTCGACTTCAACTCATGCGGGTCCTGTTGCCTATCACCAGCTTGGGTGTCTCCATTGTCTATTCTGTAGTGGAATTTCTTATTATTTGGAGAGGATTACGAGGAAACTCATTTTCCAATCGCTGGCTGGAGTACCCCATGGGCTACTGACCGACCTGTCGATGGCCAATTTTTCGGAACTGGCTCAAAATCTCAATTTTTCTAAAACTTCTACTTAAGGAATATCTAATGCTCTGATCACGAATATGACATTTATTTTTCCAGACGGCTCCAATTTACGCCACTTCGGCACCATTTGGCGCCCTTCTGGCGTTACAACTTTTTTCCGCCATATTCCAGTTAAAATCTGAGTGAGTTTAATAATTACTGGTGGTCCTGATAATGAATATGATACCTAATTTTGCGCTGGTGCTATTTTGAGAAAATTTAAAGCTCCAACCAAAATGCAAAAATTTTGTCATCACGGGATTGATCCTTGGACCATTTCCTCACCACTTTTTGGCCTTCTCGGGGCCGTTCAGCGAAAATGGACCTTGGTTCTGTAGTCCACGCATGAGTTCCTATAACATGCAAAAAAAACCGTTTTGAAAAAGCGCGGCTTGCCCTGAACGACCTCTCTTCTAAGATGCTGACGACACTCATGAAAACCCCTTTTAGCACTGCCACTGACAGTACTTCAATTAAATTGTTTTCGATAACACCCTTATGAACGCCCTTCAATATGCAGGTGGTCTTCTGTACAAGTCCGAAACGTCACTACAAATCTGTAAGAATCGCCCAATTTTAACAATCTTTTTTTTTATTTTCGAGTCTTTTTTGGCCATCAGGGAACCGTTCAGCGAAAATGAAACATGGTTTTGTGGTCCATGAATAGATTCCTACAATATGCAAAAAACGTTTTGAAAAAGCGTGACTGGCCCTGAAAGGCTTCCCTCGTTAGAAGAAGCACTTCCTTTCACAATAACACTTTGATGCGGTCGTAAGTACTATAATTATTTATTACTATTATTTAATTCTTCTCTATTTGCCTATTTTCTTTATAGCATTGCAGTTGTTCTTAACACATTTGCACCCGGATGACGTCGAGTGCGCTCTTTGGGAGTCCCTTCGTCGACTTCAAGTGGAATACGTCGATCTCTACCTGGCACATGGTCCGGTAGCATTCAACGTGAGTTAGAACTATTGATCAAGTGTCAGCTAATCAATCCATTTCGTGATTAACGGAGGTGTACGTCAATGGTTCACGCCGCGCCGTGCTTTTCATTTCAGTGCATGACGTGCGTGAGGCGACGCGATCGTGTTGCGCCGCAGCTCCTTGGCGAGCAATAGCTAATAGCCGTGCGATTTTGATGTCCGCGAGTATAAATGGCCTAAACCCGACCGAAGAACTGCAGACGACCTAGACGTGTCCTAGATGTATCACCATAGCCATGATCTGTTCAGCACGATATGACGGAACAAAATCACTCAGTGAAAGTCGAAGATACGTGGCGTTGTCTGGAAGATGTGTACAAGAAGGGACTGACTAGAGCAATAGGCGTCTCCAACTACAGCGGCGATCAGATCGAGCGAATTCTTAAAATCGCTACGGTGCCACTTCACAACTGCCAGGTGCAGAGGGCTCTAAATTTTCACCTATTCATATTATACTCATTGTAAGTTTTTTGACAGGAAGAACTTCACCTGTACTGGCCTCAACATGAACTTCATGAAATTTGCAAAAAGCGCAACATTTCTCTTACATCTCACGGATCGTTAGGATCGCCTGGTCGCGTCAACTTCAAGGCTCTGGCAGATGGATGACTCAGTTACTTTCGATATGCGTTACAAGTGAATAACTGCAAATATTTAAAGAAGAACGGATTTCCCTTGCTCTTCTCTTATTTCCTTTCAATCAAAACCACTCTTAGCAACCAATGATAATGAAAGAATGCTTTGAATGTGTAAATGTCACGTCACGCGGTCCGCCAGATTTCACGCGACGAAGTTGCACGGAGCCCTTGGAACGAGCGTTTCAGTTTGGTCGCGAACTGACTCGAAAGTAACAAAGGTGGCCAATTAATCCCGACCTTTGCCTTTAAAGGCAATATGAAGTTAATTTTATGAAATGGAAAGGGGTTTTTTATTTAACTTGAGACCATTCGGTTCTAGTTTTGTAGAGTGTGATTAAATGGGTTTGAATGTGGAAAAAGAATGTCTTTTTTTTCATTGCCACCCCTGTTTCCCTTCGTGACAAATTCAGTATCTTCAATAAATTTAGGTGTAGAGCTCTGGCTACCTGTTCACTAGTCTAATGAGGTAGACTCATCTATGAAAACGGATACATTTTCCTACTCCTCTCCTCTCCCTCAGTCTCATGAGGGAGGCGAAGACTTCGATATCTGAGTCCCTACGGCGCCATGAGTTTAGGAGCCTCGATGGAAAATTGATGCAGGCGAAGGCAGAAACACCTCTCAAGGGCGGTGTGGTTTTATGGCGAACACCAGTTCGGGAAACAGTCGAGCGTGCCATTCCACTGCCTCCGTTAATGTACAAGAAATATATGGGCCAGGTTGTACCGCGCTCGTAGCCTGAGTTGCATTCGTGCTCGGCTACGGATTCTGATAGCCACGCACTTCCTTCACTTCCCGCCACTCCGCATTCGAAAGCGTATCTGCTCGACTTCTCCCTCTGAACAGATAACCCAAAGTCCTTCTCGTATTATCAGCGTTGGCTTGCTGGCTCGGGCACAACCAACCACAAAACTGCTGTAGCCAGAAACCAATTTGATGCACTGTGTGCTCTGGTCGTGAAAGTTGTCTCTTGTGCTTCTGATTGATTCGTTAGATCAGCAATCAATTAAAATTGTGAGTACAGGATTTCGACCCCGTCTCTTGCCTTCACATGACATTACGATTCCGAATTGAGGTAGAGTCCGTGGTGCATCCCAGAAGGGATTTATCAAAGCCTAGTGCTCCTACCTTTTGCTTTTAATCTCCACAGTTTCGTCACATTGTCCAGGTCGCAAAGTGACCAAAGAGGTCGAGGCTACCATGTCCTAGCAAGAAACTGTTCACATCATCCCTTCCAGTTTATACTCGAGACTCAGAGGGTCTTTTTTCTTACTCGAAGTGCTCCAAAGGGTCCCGTGTACGTATTAGTTCCATTAGACTAATCGATCAGTCATGTTCGTCATTTGTACTTTGGTCAAAATAATTGGGGATCCATAACCAGTCACAGACTACTCTCGGACTATTACCCGTTCTCGGAACAAAAGGGCGTTATAAAATTGGTCTACTAGTCTCACGATCAGCATTCTGTCGCTGACATGGATGTGGCAGCACTGAATCACCATAGGCTCTCTTTCACAGTTTTCTCATCTATCGGCATCGCCGATCCCTGAGGATCTTCCTGTAACGCATGTGATCTGGAGCCCTATGCAGCAGTACCGGGGGATGCGTCTCCAAGTTTGCATATCTGGGTACTCCACCCTATTCCCGATCTGTAGCATTGCGCCATCGACCATAGTAGAGAGGCAGAGTTTTGGAATCCCACTCCCGGCTGGATACTGCTCCATACGGCTCCTGTTTTCCAACGTCACACCTTGCGCATCTACAAACTCAATTGTTAGTGTTTCTTAGGAACCTGCGGTACCAAGATGAAAAAGTTTGGAAACTGTAGACTAGAAAAGTGTACGTAGGTTCCACTTTTTGATGCTGGGGCTAAAGAATGTGACAATAAGTCTGCAAATACGACGCGGCCACGGTAAATAGAGTATACCTATCTGTGGGCTCTTTGTGGTTCTGCCGCCACATCTCGCTTGCGACCAATCACTTCAAATCATCGCCGTTCTTCTCATATGTGCTCGGTCTTCGTATCCTTTCCGGTCGTCTAAGTGGCTTGAAATAAAATCGAGTACTAAATTTTGACTTGTTTTGTTTGTTAACTGCTGTTTTTGGCCGCAGTTCGCCTTGCGAATGTTTCACAAGAATGCTGGGTTGTGAACAAAACTTTCGCCCCAGGCGGGACTAGAACCCGCACCTCTTGCTTACCGGGCAAGTGCGCTACAATTACGCTGGTACCTTATGATATCAGGTATGGTGCCCCGGTAGCGTAACTGGTAGCGCACTTGCCCGGAAAGCGAGAGGTGCGGGTTCGAGTCCCGTCTGGGGCGAAAGTTTTGTTCACAACCCAGCATTCTTGTGAAAGTCGTGTAAGCGAGTTTATCGCGGCCATCAAATCAACTTCGACCTCCATGCGGAAATTCACCGGTCTGCAAAACCATTGAAAATTCCTTCCAAGCACCACAACTCTCTCGTAAATTTTTAGAAAATTATGTTACTAATTGTAAGCTTCCCTTTCACAATGTGTTCACAGCGTACTCTCCTGAAAATCAATGTGATTTCACAAGGACACTGTAACGATAGAATGATAGCGTCTTATTCCCTGGTACTAACAAGCTAACCTATTATTATGCTAGAAGGCTTTCTAGCTTGAATTCCTAAGTAAGCTCGACTCGTTAACTCAATTTTGTCAACTCACTCACCTTTTGCAACACTCTTCAGGCAGAAATGGTCGTTGGAGGCCCAACCATTACACTTTCCAATGGCGTGAAAATGCCACAAGTTGGATTGGGAACCTGGCAGGTGAGCAACTGCTTTTCAAGGTTACTTCAAGAATAAATTTTCAAAAGTAGAGCAGCTCGTACAGCTTTTAGAAGCACCTAGAACTGATTTTGGTTCAACACGGTGCTCTATGCCGCTCTCAAAGGGATGAGGTTGAAGAGGCGGGTGGAATGCTAAAACGGAAGGCCGGCCTGGGCAAAATTGTAGCCGGATTATCAGTATCATGTATGCGGTAGCAGCACTCCTAGTTCCAGTTCAACTTCGCCCAGAGCACATTTACTTAGTATACTTACTGTGTTCTGGACCGTATATTATTTGACTGTGAAATTTAAAAAAAAAGCATTCATTCTTTCAGTCAACTCCAGCTGAAGTAAAAAGTGCCGTGAAAGCGGCTATCGAGGCCGGCTATCGTCTGATCGATACAGCTGAAGCATATCAGAACGAGGATGCGATCGGTGAAGCCATCAAGGAATTGATTCAGGATGGGAAAATCACAAGAGAGGAGCTCTTTATAACAACAAAGGTAAGACGCCTCGAGACAACAATTATTTACTGCTTATACAACTAGTTAGGCTCTGAACATGACAGATAACCCCTCGCGGTAATCTACAAAGGGCTGTTGGACGAATTGCGTTGAAATTGGTGCTACTGAAAGAAAAGTTGATAGCTTTTGATCAGTTTTTTCTGTTCTTAGCACTCCTGCCTTAGAAGCACGAAATCCGGGTTCGAATCTCGGCTGATACCAAGTACTGTGCTCAATCCAACTCAATATTCTTCTAGCACCCTGAAATCCCTTACACCAGCGCGCCTTCATTTCTGTAGAAAGACGCACGCTCCTCTGGCTGCTCCACCCTTTTGATACAGCGGTTTCCCAAGAAATTCATTTATTCAAGAAAACAATAGACAATGAACAACAAACAAACAACGAGTTCAACAAGACACACGCTACAGCGATGCGCTCTCTTTGCCAAACGGACTTATCTTCAGGCGAACGTACCCATGGGATCACAGTATTATTCAATTTGAAGGGCACTAGTTTTCGAGAAATGATTACTGTGGGCTGACATTCACTATACCTCTTGCTTTTGTTGTGTCATAGAAGACCACCCACCGTGGTCTTTCTTGAGAAAGTAAATAAAAACTTTGAAGCTTCCAGCTTTGGTCGACCCTTTTGGAATGTGCCACGAATCTGCCTCCATTCACAGATCGTAGGATATTTGAATGTGATATGATCTATGCAATAACCTGTGCCCACCATAACACCACTTATGCCTTTGCCTTTCTTGATTAAAGAATAAAGGATAAAGCATTTGCCGTTGATCAATCCCTTTTTGGGATGCGGCACGCATTCTACTTCCATTTGTACATTCGTAGTGGCGTTTGAATGCGATGTGGCCTATACAATGACTTGCGGGGGCCAGCCGATGGAGAAGTCAGTTTCACAAGAATGCTGGGTTGTGAACAAAACTTTCGCCCCAGGCGGGACTAGAACCCGCACCTCTCGCTTTCCGGGCAAGTGCGCTACCAGTTACGCTACCGGGGCACCATTTCATTCCAACTCAGCTTTTCATGGTATACGTACCATAGCTTTCAGCACTCACACGTATAACGTGTTGAGCCGGTTAGCCGATATCGGCAATGACCGCGAGGCTGAAAGCTTTAGCAATGAATTTTGACTTGTTTTTGTTTGTTAACTGCTGTTTTTGGCCGCAGTTCGCCTTGCGAATGTTTCACAAGAATGCTGGGTTGTGAACAAAACTTTCGCCCCAGGCGGGACTAGAACCCGCACCTCTCGCTTTCCGGGAGAAGTCAGTGTTTTTATCCTCCCAGACAAGTCTGGTACCAATTAACCGACCCCGGAGGGATGGAAGGCTTGGTTGGCCCGGGCGACTCACGACCCAGGATTTGATCCCCGGACCGCTCGCGTGGTAAGCGTGCCACTTGCCACTACACCACTTCCGCCCTAAGTCCTTAGCCTTTCTTGATAAAGTATCGGAAAATTCCGAATCAGCTTATTATGAGCGACTACACGAGGCGTTGCTCAGAAATACGAGAAATATTGAAAGAAATTAGTTAAAGTTAGAGATTCTTTCTTGCCAAATATAAATGAATGCAATAAGTTCGGACGGACCCAGAAATGGAAGTGTTTTAAAGTCTGGAGATCTTCTGTGGTAGCCACCTCTCTGCTGTAGTGTGGTGATGTTCTAGAGCCTCCTTTACAAGAGTATCTCGCTTATGTGTGAACTGCCTTGAGCAATGACATTCACCCTCTCAAATAGGGATGAATCGTGTGCATCATCTGCTTCTCTGTTGTCTAATGGTAAGAGGCAGGTATAACGGTCGAGGAATTGTCGACCATGGCTCTGCACTGTGTGAGAGTAGTGTCGAGAGTGAATAGCGCGGAGAGCACAGACGGCTCGCGCATGGCGAGAGTGAATGTCCGCGCGGGAGAGCGTGACTGAACAGGCGAAATCCTCGACGAACCGTTGACGAATCCTCGACCGATTTTCACCCTGCTGAGAGGGGGTGTAGCAACATATCACGATCTGATGATCAAATCTAGCCCAGGCCAACCAAGCCTTATAAAAGTGGAACCAGACTTATTTGGGAAGAACATTGATTTGCACAACAGCTCATTTCCAGAAGTCCATTGACAACCCATATCCAAATGTCTGAATTCCTTGAGTAATTTGAATGGAAGAATTTAGAAGCGTGGTGTAACCGAGCCCACTCCTCAAAAAGAAATGATCAATTCCGGATGCTGAATATTTTCAAGGATAATCTTACAGCCATATCACGAATAATTGCGCCATTACAGTTATTTTTGACGCGTATGCATCCGGACGAGGTCGAAGGTGCTCTTCAAGAGTCACTTCGACGACTTCAACTGCACTACGTTGATCTTTACTTGGCACATGGTCCGAACAGCGTTTAATGTATGTGAGTCTTATCAAATGTTACCTGTTTTCTGAAAAGAACGAGCGCTTTATATTCGCTTACAGTCTTTGACCCGCCTAAAGTAACCCCAATTTTTGCAGGAAGTGGAAGTTTCAGGGTGGGTGCAACAGCGGGAGTAAACTTGCTTCATGGGGCGCTCACCTCCCTGCAAAACTGGACTGGTGGCCTGGACTATCGCACAACCTGTCCTCCTCCTCTCCCCCTTCACTTACTGTGATGGAGTCTTAGTTTAATTTAGCCGTGACTTCAGTCTTCGTTGAAGGAATCGTCCATGAAAAAAAATGAGAAAAAAAAATGAAGAGGGAATTGTCCAGATTCTATCTGACCCGTGAATCACTTCAATATCACGGCTTCAGACCCATCATTCACGATAAAACGAAAAGATCAAAAAAATTGTTTTGGCCTCTGTAAACAATTCGAAAAACCGGAAGGACTGTCACGCGTTCAAATTCCCGCCGTACATCTGTCACAAATGTGGCGACGGAGCTTCTACTTGGTTCTCAAAGTGCCTTCACTAAAAACTCTTTTTGGCCTTTTCCACCTGTGGCAATAACATTCCTCTTTTCTACTGTTCCTCTTCTATCGTTCATGTCGTTTCAAGAGCCGGGTGCAGCGAGCATCGTCCGGGGAGGGGTTCTCGACATTGTGGAGTACATCTCGACCCTGGGGAGGGAGAGGGGCAGGGTAAACCCTACGTTGGGACAAGTACAACGGGGGGGTCGTAGTTTGTTGAGTTTGTTTGTGGGGGGGGGGGGGGTCGTACTTGTTTCGGTAGCACGAAATTACATGTAATGAGGTGAGAGCGCGCGGGAGAAAATTTGCCGTTTCAGTATGCGTATACCCCCTCCGCTCGACGGTGTTTTTGAGGGAAAAAGAAGTTGTGAAGAAGGGGGCGTATGAAATCTTTCATGATGGAGGGGGGTCGTAAAAAATTTTCAAAAAGTCCCAACTGTAGGGTTGACCTGGGAGGGGGTGAGAAAGGTCACCGGTGGCGCGGACGCGAGCGCGTGCTAGTGACGTCACAGCTGCGCCAGGAGCAACAAGAGGATTATCCAGGGCAACTGAGAGTTTGCTCGGACAGTAACGAGGCTGCTAGCATTTTACTAACCTATGCAATTAAGTACGGCGAGTGAAATGATTGTATTACGAGTAGATGTCATCCTCGTGCTAGAAATAGAAATGCTTCGACGAACAAATTTCTTGAGTCGATAGCCCAATTTGGTGAAAAATCGAGCTGAAGTTCCTCCTAGCGTTCGATCTCTGATTTCGATTCCCACTTACACCACTACCTATTACACAGTGAAGTTAGAGAACAGTAAATGCTAGGAGCACCTAATGTATCGAAAAATTGCGGCAATGCCAGCTCTTCCTCTTTCCCTCGCCGCCGCTCTAACGTCAAAATGACGTCACCAACACGCAAGCGTGTCCGTGCTGCCGACGAGCTTTTCTATGGAGCCACCTCGGGTACAGATCTCCATCATCGGCATGTAACAAACCATTCAAGGGTGAACTCAAAAGACCCATCATTCGAGTTATCCTATGACGCTGCCGTCCGGGACGGTCTCTGCCGTCGACCCTCCACGTCCTTGCCGGCCAGGGATATGTCCCCCTAGTCGAGGCTCAGGGGGTTCCTACCCTTGAACGGTCTCTCGATGCATGTTGGGGACCTGGATATCTCCGGGGATGGAAGTAATCTTCGAGTTTGGGGACACATCCGTTCACATTCCCCGAGGTTGGAAATATATCCCCGAGGGAGGGGCTATTATTGCCATGTAAGGGTAAAATGTAGAGGAACGCTGCCATTTCTGAGCTTCATCTGATATGGGGCGGTATTCAATCCTTCCCCCAGGGGGATATATCCCCCTCTGATTCAATCCTCTGGGGGGACAAAAAAGGGTTGCGTCATAGGACCTAGCATACCTCTGTGTTTCTACCTGCCAGACAGTTAGAGCAGCGCGACTACCCTCCACTGATGAAGCACTCTTTCCCCTGAGGGGTCGCGCTGCTCTAACTGTCTGGCAGGTAGAAACACAGAGGTATGCTGGGTCCTATGACTAGTATAGGGCGCCATTC